CCCCCCGGGTGCCTACCCCCCCCCCCCCCCCTTCCAGCTAATAATAAGAGCCAGCACTTATTTAATTCTGCCCTGTCTGACACCCTGTCTCTATTAAAAGACAGACATTTAATGAATAGAAGGCATCTATTAGAGCAAAAATGATAGTCATTTTCATTTAATCCTGTACTATATTTGCGTGAACCATAAAGTTGACATCTTTGTTTCCAGTTAGTGCATCCATCACCACAATCCAAATGTGACCAAATTCCATCCTTGATAACACTACAGAAGCATACTGTGCAGAAATGAAGATGGCATAAGATGCATTGAATGGGACCAGAGCTTCTGTGATTCTGTCCCAAGGATTCCAGTCTCTCCATGTGGGTTTTAATCCACACGTACCCCAGAGAACTTGAATAACTTCGCATGTCCTTCAAAGTTTCCCAGCATTTTCACGAAAACAGATTCCCCCTTCTGCAATTTGCTGATAGCATCAATATCCATGGTTATCATATTATCAAATTTCCCAAATGATCCCGCAGCCAACAGAAGGTCCGCTTTCTCAATCCTCGCCTCGCCATGGAGCCGACCGTATGTTGAAAAGTGCAGGAAGAAGTGATACAAGCCTGAGGTGGGTGCCACAAATGTTGCACTGGAACTGTTGAATCCATTCCCAGCATTCAAGTAGACTTCAGTGAAATTCAGAAGCATCCCTGGATGATATGGAACAAGAATAATGAACTGCAAAGAAATTTCATTTGAAAATTCCATCATACTTGGTTATCTTCAAATCAAACTAGTGTAAAATCTCATTACAGAAAATAAAGTTAAAAGAAACTTTTCAGTATAGCAAACTATTTTCAAAGTCTTGGCAGAAATCCTATAATAGGTACAAGCTATTTAAATATCATTAAAGCAACATTACCAATTCCAGTATACTAAACTTTTTGGAGTCATATTAAGATTTCCTAATGAAAAATCCCCAATGAAGGTAGACACATTCTAAACTTTCCCATTCAAAATGTGACTGATGTGACTGGTTCCTGCTAGGATATTAGGTGGAATCAAGGCCAAAAATCTTTTCAAATACACTTGAACCTGGTCTGGTTCAAAACATTTTCCTAGGTTAGGAGAGATGGCGAGGAGGGTCTAAAAACCCAGCAATAAGATTTGTTTGTATGCTTGAGTAACATTTCCTGAAAAGGAGAACAGTTGAGAACAGTTCCAGAAAAACAAATGAGAACACCCAATCTTGTCACCTTACATCATTCCTTGACCTTTACTCCTCTCATAGTTTGTAGCTGACTTTCCAAGTTACATCAACAGAAGTTCAGGTATTATAAAATTAGGAAAGGAATGCTAAATGCTCACATTCTGTTGGAGACTCCATGTGTTTGTTGGGTATGCCTGCCACAGAGAAGGCAACTGCATCAGGGTCCTTTGGTTACATGGTGCAGAAAAGTACAACAGTATCGTATTTTTATGCTGGACATGCCCATTAATGACTATGCCTATCCAGTGAACCCTTGATTAACAAACTTCTGGCTTTCGGGGAAAATTGCTGAGTACTTGACTAGCAGTCCAATATTTGGATAACAAATTTTCTGAGGAAAAATCCAAGATTTGAAAACTCAAAATATGATTTAAGGGCTGGCATTCATGGTACTGTATATACAATCTAAGCGCAAACAATTCACCTATGCACAGAAAATTCTTTCATTCTGTCACTTCAATATGTGTAATTTTAAGTCTTAAATTTTGTATCAGTACTCCACTATTACTATGTGCATCTCTGTCCCTGGTTTTTCCAGTTCTTCAAACACTAGGAAGGTTTGTTTATTTGAACTTTACTTGCAGCATTCAAAAATAAATTTTCACCTGTTTGATGAGAATGATGACTGATGAGAAGTAGTTTTATTGTATTTGTTTTCATCAGTCCTACTTCCGTATAACAGTGTTTAAGCATTCTGGGATTACAGTATATAAGATGGAGCGACAGATTATTCTGATTATATTTCATGGTCTTGCATTTTTTTAATTCAATGTTCAATTTTTCAGGGTTCACCAAACAGATTAAATTCCTCCAAATCGAAGTCCATGGGCGGAAAATGGAGTTTGGTTAACAAACTCATATCGATCGGGAACCAGTTAAGGTTTTTAACCAAGGGTCCACTGTAGATCTAACCTGTATGTCAGCTACCCATCTTCCACTGAGTCGCCACCAGTTGTTATGAACAAAATTCAGGCCATCCAAATAGTTCGTGCAATAGGAATCCATTCTGCCCCAGTACTCCATTACATCGTCTTTCTTCATGCTCACCAGGCTGTGGCCAGCGCTGGTTATGGGGTCAGTGAAACTCCAGATCACCGAAGAATCGTGTTCTTCAGGATGTCCTACGGGTCTCAGATTAATCCAATTGTGAATGACACCTGTTGGTAGATTGTAAGCCAATCCTACGAAGTTGAATAAGTAAACTCCGTCCCGTGGGGCTACAAAGTATCCGATGCTGGGCTTGAAACCGCGTCCCACGTTCAGCACCGCAATTTCTGGCCGGAATCCTGTTGAATAGAATAACATTCAGATCAACTGTGCTCCAGTCCAGTACCATGAAGATTTAGGAATATTCAAATGTAGAAAATGTCCCCCAGAAAAAAAAATTTATTTCCCCTCGGACTTTTTTTGGCATTGTATTTTCCTGAATCGTAAATCCATCACAATATAGTTTTGTATTTAAATTTTCGAGCATTTTTCTCGTTTGTCAATCGAAAAATATCTGCATCATTCAAGAATGTATTCAACAACAGAAATATCTCGATAATAATATAGTTGTATCTATGCTAAATAGAGGGAAATTGAAAATGTATAGGGGAAAATGCTCGTATTTATGGTGGATCTTCATGAGAAAAAGATTTGCCAGGTGAAGTTTGTTTGTAACAATGAGAAAAAGATTTGCCATGTGAAGTTTGTTTGTAACAATATGCATACGGAACCTTTTCAAATGTTTTAATGCTCAAGAAAAATGATTCTCGATTCGCCAAAGTAATGGCGAGCCTCGTCTGAATGAATTCTCTGAGATAAACGGTACACGTTCGAAAAATAAATTTGTCGCCCCGCCGAACTAACACTGTACTTTCATTTAATGAACATTTGGACTCCAAGCAACACAGCAAAATGGTTCTTCAAACATTTATGACCCGATTTACGTTGCTTAATGATTTTGATCTAACTTTGCTGAACCCCAAAAACAAAAACAAAAATACTGCTCTCAAATAATTTTCTGTGAATTTCTTGCCGTCTCAAGCGCCATGCATATTAAACCTATACCTGAATTCTACATTTTTGGCTTGAACTTTCCTCAGTCGAACTTTGTGAAGCAATCATTGTGTCCTATAATTGATTCAACTTCCCTCTGCGCTCGAAACATTTGCATTCTCGAAGCCAATTGAATATTTAGTATAAAGTTTCTAGATGAATGTATTATACGTGGATCAGGCGAAGTTCCCAAACTCGGAAACTGCATAAATGTAATTTCTCGAGGATAAATTCATGTACTTCCTTTCGGGTTCAATGACGAAACCGAATAATTCGGTAGCAAGGTCTCAATATTCCCAAACGAAAATCAGAGACATAACACTGAATTGTAAAGAATTCCCATCACAAGGTTATGCATTCCATAGGAGCATTTTAGGTATTTTTGAATGAAGGAAAGTGATACACAAGCTAATATCACCCCTCATAATCTTACTTTTCCCCACTTTCTCCGTCAATGGCAGATGCTCTTGTCCGATTGTAGTGAAGAGGATCGGGTCATGGTTCTGCTTGAGCTTCGCATCAGCAGCATCAGGCAGGTCGATTTCCTGGAGGTAAAAAGATAGGGCTATACATCAATCAAATGTTCTTTCCGGAAAATTCCGACAAAGAAGCTCACGTTCATGGCCTGCTGGTCGTAAGCCGGATTTGTACAATCGCTGACTGAAATCCGCGTGATTAAAATATTAATAGCGAGTGCGAGAAGCGCTTTCCAGCAATGGGACCGGGCTTTCTTTAAGCACTTATAGTTAGACATCTTTCCGCGTACACTTGGCTGAAGATATGTATGCAAAAATTAAAACTGCTGGAGCTCACTGTACAGCTTCTCAATGGATATTTTACTGGGCTCTGGGATGCAACCATTATATAAGCAACTCCTTCCATATAATGCAGTAGTTGTTGAAATCACAATTATACAGGTAGGTGCTGGCAGGAGTGATGGTCATTCTGACCGTCTGACTCCACATTTCACACTTTATGGACATAAAACGCGCCGATCACTCAATTCACAGAAAGGCGCAGTTTTTTAATTTCAGCAAGTCGAGTTTCAGCCGCAGCTCATTTTATAATGATGAACTGCGAAACAGAATTGATCCCTTCGGCCGTTGTCAAATAATGCTGGAAACGTAGAATTTGAGTGCTGCCCTTTATTGTGGAAGAATCTTGCCAGCACAATGGTAATAAGGATATTCAAATTCATTATTCATGCTGGACAGATTGTTTTTTTTTTTATTTCGCAGTCCACGAAAATCATCGTTTGATTGAAAATTTTTCATTCCGGAATTTCAGAAGTTTCTTCGGCATTTGCCAGATATTTTCAACGTCATGTATATGCAGTCATTATAAAAATAACTACGAATTGGTACATATTATGAGGGAAAGTTTCTTGCTGATTGCACCAGACTTTTCCACATGAGTTATTTCCCACAAATTCCACATAATTGCATTTTATTTAGAAGACCGCAACTGATACAATTGACGACAAAGACTTCATTTGTTCCATGGGAGATCCAAACACTGATGTTTTCCAAGTACATCAGTGTGAATGACACTGTTTGCATTTTAGGTAATTAAAAATTGAATTAGCTAAAGATCAAAAAGTCAAAACGTGTTTATGGATTTATGTATGATTTTCAGAAAAGTTTTTTTCTTTTTTGTTNTGTGCAATATGAATTTTATCAGGGAACCACTGATATTTGGAGTTTGTCGCTTGTCCGATCCTGCGAATCTGACAATGACATTCACACCTTACTCAGTTTACACAAATGCATAACTGGACGTTATGCTGGTACCCGGTAAACCACGCAGGTTGAAAACGACGCAAGAAGGGCTTAATCCTTCAAAATCCTCTCTGGCGCCCTTCTGAGGTTGGGGTCTACCGCCAGTCTTGCCAACGATATTTCAGTTAAAATTGGTGCTCCAGGTGCCTCAAAAATCCGGGGAATTTTTGAAGCTTTCCCTGGGAGGCTTTCTGGGTGCTCTTAAACACGTTTAAACCAAATCAGCTTTTACCCAGGAATGGGAGATCCCAAAAAAAAAAATGGTTGTTCCATACTTGATGTGTGCCGATTCAAAAACAGTCCTTCTACCAAAGTCACTGTACCAAATAGAGTTTCTACCAAATTATGTGTACCTCGTTTACTCTTTTGGCACAGGATTACATTCATAATAAAGGTTAGGGAAAAAATCATGCTCCGTCTCCAATTCTGGGTGAGGAAGACAAATATCTTTTACATGACAAAAAACTGTGTGCACAGAACTATAGTTTGTCTGTAGCCAGGTATTCCTATAGGAATCATAGAAATTGCAATTCTATGCAATTGATTTTCAAAAGACCAAATCGATTAGGAATACATCCTGGCGACATTCTGAGTTTCCGCGGCATCCTTGATGGAGTGCAAAGACCAATTGTTTTTGGCAACATCACTCCACATTCTCAGCGTCTCCACGACAGATGAATAATTTGCACTGGCAATTTTCTCGCTCATTTGCAAAGAAGGAAGTCGAGCAAATTCGCAAATGACGTTTTTCTCATACTATCGACTCCTCCAGGAAATTCTCAACGAATGCCCAACGCGTGGAAGAACTCGTGATTTGTCACTTAATTCGGCATTAATGCGCATTTGCAATGAGCGATTGCCCCGACTGCATCATTATCCAGTTCGTTGAATATAAATTTGCAGCGACCTTCATTTTTGATCACTGAGCTTGATTGATTGTCAAAGTGACACACCGAGACAGACGAAATAAGTTAATAGTCAATTCTTTTTAAACGAATTGAAAAATGTCTATAAAATGACTAGGAGAACGAAAATGTCGGGTCCTATTCCTCGATGTTGCTTATGCTGATTGTTGTTTTACAGCTAGAGCACCAAGTCCTGGGATACTCATTTTCAGATCATTATACTTGTCCGGTGAGGGTAAGGTGAGTTTTCAAAAAGGAAATTCTCTACGTGAGACAGACGCGTATATATAGAATCCATTAACCTGAATGACAACATCATCTCCTTTTTCCATCCTGATGCATACAGGAATTCCGAAAGGAAAAGGTCGCCTTGGCTGTTTCGGGACCAAAAGGAGACGAAGGAACCCCTTTCATGTACCCCAATGAGCATTGTGAGTGAAGAACTAAACTGGCTTGACCATATAGCTGCTATATACGGTCATCAATACACATTCGAAAATATTCTTTTTTTTGGCGCAATTGAGAGATTGCAACACTGATTTATTTGTTTTCACTCTCTTTAGCCAAGCAGTCCTTATTTTAATTTTGAAAAGTGCTATTCTCACTCAGTCAAATCAACATTTTCATTGGAAGTATTTTCGAATCTATACTGTATTCAAGAATTTCTCGCTGTACAATAAACAAAGAAGAAATATCTCTCGGCGTGAAAATATTTTTAAAGTTGATGGGAAAACCCTCAATTTATTTTTCATTTTTATTTGTGGAAAGTTTGTTGAAAAAATATGTTCAAAGTTGCACCTATAATTATGGTCTATTTTCTTTCTGACCCTTTCAACAAAAAAAATCTAAATACGTTGTAAACAGGTGGAACATCTGCATGCAGCACCTCATTATCTTAAAGTTTTCAATATGGAAATACTGTATTTGTAATTAGTTATCCTGTAGATTGATGGTTGACAAGTTTCCCCCTCCCCCAAATCAGTAGGATACTTTATCTCGACTTCAAGTATAAGAAAAAAAATGTGCAAAAGAAAATTACACAGAATATGATCTTTTGGCATCAGAAATGACCTCATGAAGCAAAGTTCAAGAACAAGTCTAGCTATTCACTTTCCCCATGTTGGAAAAAAAAACTGGAAAAAGAAAGCACAAAATTAGCCAGGTTTTTCTCATGAATTGAAGACATTTGATGATGAAATTCAATTTCAGCATTTGTAAATGTAAACAGCTCAATATCTTTAAAGTATATGAAAATTCAGAGAAATTGCTGACTCCTTGAATTCTACCAGATATCTCGTAAAAATGTCCACATTTGGAGTCACTGTCCAGACGTTGGCAGAAGATTATTCTTTTCAGTTCAAAGTGTCCCCAAGTCAACTTTTCATATATCCTGATTTTATACCTTATTTTATCCAATTCCATCTCCAATACAACTATACAAGACATGCATAGCTGTCCTGATTAAGTATTTCCGAGAGGACTTGAACATCGGAGGCGGATTAAACATGATCGAGCACTAATGGGACCTCCACTGCTCCGGTGGAGGGCCTCTATAATACTAGCTATTTCACTTGGCACGGGTGCAATCGGAAGTACGACATTCATACCACCCTCCACATTACGATCAGCTACGTTGAGGGACATCCTGTGCTGATGATCAATTCCAAGGTACCGGACTAACAGTGAATCTCGGAAACCCGCAGGGAGGTAAACCACTGCCACCGTGACGACCAAAGGCTACATATGTACTTGAAAGAAGGACAAATGGTCTCGTCCCTTTTGCACGATGTATAGTGGTCCATGACCCAGAAACCCCGGACGGATTCAAAGATTCTCCAGAATATGTCGGGTTTTCTGCCTATTTGGTGGCATCTGTTCTTCATTGATGAAAATCATCAAATCCAGCAAAGAATAATACTAAAGATTTCAATTTTCGTCTTTCGTATATGCTGGTGCTTGCTGTGGCGTTGTTGAACTTAGTTATTCTGTCTATGTGCTGATGGTTACCTTTTGTGCGTGAATAAACCGGGGTACTCAAAACCGACTACTGCAGTATTCATTTTTGCATGCCGGAGCAACACTTCTGGATTTTCTACACAGTTTGGCTTATTATTGATGTAAAAATATAAAATAAAAAAGTATTCAAAAAATCGGAACAAATCTTTTAGTCCTCTAATAAGAAACAGCTAAGCCCACTTCAATGTACAAATAGATAGTCAATCATTACAATGATGGTACGTAATTCTAAAAATAAACCTTTGTTTTAACAAATAATTGCTTCAAATCAGGTAAAATCTGCATTTATTTTCCAAAAAATTAGAAGTCAACTCATATACTGCATGTATACAGGTGCTAGTAAAAGAATTATCACCAGCAGTGGACGTATAGAGAAATCCGACCTGGTCGGTTTTTACGGATAATTCGGTGCATAAAACCCCAGTCACAAGAGAATAGCGACGTCATTCACTATACCTCAGTGCACTTTCGCTCATAATTCTCCGCTGCAAGATATTACTGCGGCAGTGAAAAGCGAATTCGCATTAATTATTCGCATTCAAAGTGAGTTTATTCAACTATTTAAATAACAATGCTCATCCCTGATAACCTTTATATGGGCTCGCGGACCAGCATATTAAAAAAGTATTCTGCGGACTGGCAAAACGTCCCACAACATTTTTGACAGTCCGGAGACATTAAAAAACAAAATCCCTGCCATACTGTCTGCAGAACAAAACTTTTATTGAAATCATTGAGTTATAAGAACTGCTGGCGCAACAAAACAGCAAAATGGGGAAATATGTTTAAATTACATGGAGCTGGGCTTCAAAAACGGTTTCTTGCTGGATCTAAAACTTGAAATGATACATTTCTGCAAGCAAAAAGATATGCCTTGAGTGGGTTTAGGAGAAAAGCCACCTTTAATTCTTCATGGGATAATTTCAACTGACTGTCATATATGTACTGTATTTCAAAAATTGTTGATGGCCATATTAGACTTTTTTATTACTGCTTTTAATATACATTTATTATGGGAGAAAATGTTTTCCCGCGGACCACAGGTTGGGGAATAC